AAATTTTCTTGCTCTATGATTGGTTTCTCTATATATTATTTTTGTATTATTAAAATTAATATTGTGATTTGTTTTAAATGAATGTTCAGCTACATTTGATTTAATATCTAAATTAGTTAGAGCACTTTTATGTTCATTAATTCTAGATTTTAATTTCCGTTTTGTTTGACCAATATAAATAACTGCAAATGCAATCAAAACATCGATTTATTTCACGAATTAATTAAATTTGAAAAACAATTTCATTCATTGAATGCGAGACAAAAACATCACGAAAATGAGTGCAAAAGCAATGAATCAAATGAAGTGATGTCTGAGTTGTGGTCCACAGTATCGACACAAACAGCAATTAGTGGTAAAAGTTGTGATCTTTGCGATTATGAGACTAATTGTAGTGAATGTCTTATGAAACACATGACCACTCATTGCAACACAAATATCACATCCCATACCACTGATAGAGGTAATGAAAATAAGACAGCCACCAAAACAACTACCATTTCAACGGATAATAAAAGACATTTCGGATGTAAATTATGCCGATTTAAGACTACATCCAGACTTTCAATGAGAAGTCATGCGACCACTTATACCAACATAAGTGATGGCCAGCCATTCAAATGCAATATATGTGACAAACGGATGAAAACTATGAAAATATTAATGCAACATAAGAGGGAATTCCACACAAAGCTATATAATTCAATGAAATGCATTCACTGTCCGTATCGGACATACCGGGACAGTATGCTTAAGAGCCATATGAATCGTATGCACAGGACTGGCTGATCACGGGATACCAGATCTACAGTCAAGACATATCCCCAAAATACTATATTTATAAACATGTCACAAATTTTTAACTATTGTTTTTTAAATATCAGTTTCAATTAAATAAATTTATATTGATAAATTTATTTCTAATATTAATGTATTGGTGTTCAGTATCAATAGTGGTATAATTGAATGTAATTACTATTACCTCATTAACTATAAGAGTATTACAAATTATTTTAATAAAATGCCATTATAATTACTCATTTGATAAGTGTATCTAATTTTTATATTAATAATATGTCATCAAAGTTTTTTAATTGAGAAATACATAACCTTTTTAACAAACAATAGAT